AATGGCCTCATCCTATTCCCTCCATCTTATACACGGGGAGAAAGTGAGGCCTGGATCCAGATCCCCCAGGTACCTTCCAGAAGGACAGGGATCAAGTTTTCAGGTGTCCTGTCTCTCAGTTGCCGGCCCTTCCGCCATCATGGCTGCTTTTCAGCTCGGCCTAATCAGCATGGAAGGAGAGGCCTTTGAGATGACCTTGAAGGATGGGAGGGCTTTGACATTTGGAGATGGGGTCGAGCCAGACAAGCAGCCTGTGGCAAGAAGACATGGGTTGAGATATGGAAGTGGGCCGGTAAGGAGTGCAGTCAGGATGGAGAGCTGGGAGGCACCAGTTGGGCACAGTAGGTGATGGGACTGAAAAAGGTGTGTCTGAGGCGCCCCGGAGGCCAGGCAGAAGTGTGTGGACTTTATCCGCTAGGTGTTTCTGGCAGAAGAGGCCAATTAGCAGTGTAGCAGAGCGATTAAAGACAGGTGCTCTGCAGTCAGATCAGACTGTGTGTATTCAAATCCCAGTTCCAAGACTTTAGTAACTATAATTAACTGTATAACTGTGAGTGGGCTACTTAGACTCTATGTACCTCACTTTTCTCATCTCTGAAATGGAGATAATAACAGTGGTACTTTTCTCATCTTGTGGTAAGGAATACATGAATAAATGAGAATACAGGTAAAGCCCTCAATGCCTGACACACACTAAGGGCTCAGTAATAGTTATGATGATACGATGATATAACCTATATTTTAGGCCAGGCTGGAGGGAAAGAGAGTGAAGGCAGGGAGACCAGTGGGGATTCTAAGGACGTCGTGTGGATGAGAGGTATGGAGGTCCATGGTGAGGTCCCCTGAATGAGTAAGGGACCCAGGCAGAGGGCTCAAGGGGGTCTGGGCTGTTGCAGGAAGGTGGGCAGAACTCGTGTTGAGTGCTGGGGAATGTGAGGGAGAGGTTGAGAATGGCTTCACTGTGGGAGGCGTGGAGGGACCTCCATCAGGGTTTGGGGAGGAGGGTAGGTTAGAGAGGTACTTGAGAGGTGAGTTGACCAAGACCTGGGGACAAGTCTCTGTGGCCAGGGAGGAGGAGAGGCAGAGTCCGGGCTGAGCACTTGTGTTTTAGGCTCCGAGTCACTGGCACCTGGGAAGCTATCTTCAGAGTGGACAGTGGAGGAGGGTTAGTGAGATGTGGGAGGGGACGGAAGAGAGAAGGGGCTCAGCTGTGCTGAGTGTGGGGTGAGCCCCCTGGGGATTTGCTATCAGGCCTGGAGCTCAGGAGCCAGGCCTGGGCTGGCGATGGGTGTGGGGACCATTTGATAGGCTCGTGGTGTGGGCGAGGTCATCCCAGGGAGGCTAAAGATAGAGACGGGGCCTTGGAGCCCAGCCAACCCCCTGCTGAGAAGCAGCACCTTGGGAGAAGCAGCAGCCGGAGGGCTAAAGAAACCGAGGCGAGCTGTGGGCAGAGAGGGCAAGGGAAGGCTGGGCTCCAAGGAGGAGTGCAGGCCAAGAGAGCTGCATGCTGGGGACCCGGGGAGGGGCTTGGGGGGAGAGAGAGAGAGAGAGAGAGAGAGAGAGAGGGGGGCTTGGAGGCCACCAGGGACCCCTGCAGAATGCAGCCTGGAGAATAGGGGGCAAAACGCAAGCTGCAGGGAGGCGAGGGAGGAATTAATGGAGTGGGGGAAGCGGACGGAGATGGAGGCAGGTGTCACACTGCCTGGAAGCGTGCTTGAGGAGAAGAGGGGGCCACCTGAAGCAGCCAGACCAGGAAGGCTCTGAGCCTCTGGGTAAAGGGGGCGGGGGGTCCTCCCTATGTTTCAGGTAGAGAAACTGAGGCTCATTCGTACACAGAGTTACAATAAATTCATGTGAAAGACAGCCCAAGATCTCCAACTCTTAATGTAGCAATTTTTTTAAATGAACAATTGAAATTGTATAATACACACACACATACACACACACACACACTTGTTTTGATCACAGAAATAAAACATGCTTATTGGATAAACCTAGAAACGCATGCACAAAAGTACAAGGGGAAAATACAAAACTTAACCTGTAATTCTACCACCCAGAGATAAGCATTTTTACCATTGTGTATTACGACCTTCTCCTTTTTTCCTCTGCTGATATACAGAAATAGACACTGGGGTCATGTACTTACTGTTTTGTAGATCCCTTGTTTCGTTTAGCAACACGTCATGGACGATTTTCCATAGTATCAATAATATATATTCCTTAAGACTATTTTTTTTTCTCTTTTAGCTCACAGTCTAGTCAGGGAGACAGGACAAGGATGGGATCCTCTGACGATCAATCAGGGCAGAACAATGAGGCTGTGTCTTATCAGGGTGTCTGGGGCTGTGGCTAGAACACCAGACCAGGAGCCCGCTGGACTGGCTCATGCAGTCCTGGATTGGCCCCTGGCTCACCATGTAGCCTTGGGTAATATATTTGCCCTCTGTTGATCTCAGAATACCAGAATCACAAACGGATTATGGGCAAGTCTCTTCAGGCCAGAAGCCATCACTGTGAAATGGTAGAGAGAGAGGCTTAGAAAATCAAACGACTCTGACCATCACGATCCTGCAGGTCAGATAACTGCTTTACGCCTCAGTTTCTTCATCTGAAAAGTGAGAATCACATTTACCTACTCTGCCTGCCAGGACTCTGGTGAGAATCCATTTAGATGAACTGTTATGATGCCTAAGAACAACGAATATTTGGACAATATTTGGGCCACACGATCTCACTTGCCATTCCAGCAACCCTATGAGGTAGGTACTATTTTTGTACCTTATTCTTCCAGGTGGGGAAACCGTGGCTTGGAGAGGTGAGGTCACTTGTTCAAGGTCACAGGTAGGAAGCGGCAGGGTTGGGTTCAAGCCCAGCTCTCCCAGTTACCAGCACCATGGATCTTTACACGGCACCGTTCTGATGTGTGGTGTGGGCCTGAGCAGGAGGAGGGACAAGAAGAGCCCTGGGAAAACAGACAGCGAGTGGGAAGCAGCCGCATAGCACAGGGTGATCAGCTCGGTGCTTTGTGACCACCTAGAGCGGTGGGATAGGGAGGGTGGGAGGGAGACGCAAGAGGGAGGAGATATGGGGATATATGTATATGTGTAGCTGATTCACTTTGTTATACAGCAGAAACTAACACACCATTGTAAAGCAATTATACTCCAATAAAGATGTTAAAAAAAAAAAAAAGAGTCAGATAATAAATCACGTTAGGCTTCGTGGGCCACAGAATCTCTAAAAAAAAAAGAAGAGCCCTGGGAGTCTGTGGCCCTTGCACCCTCGGTTCGGCTGTTGTTGTCCCAGGCACCACCATCTGTGGGGAGTGGCCGCCCTCTGGTGTCCTAAATGTGACTTGTCCTCTCAGGGAGGAGAGCTGGCAACCTGCCTGTCTCCGAAGGGTGGGATGAGCTTGGAACAACCCCAACTCGTCCTTTCAGAGTTTGGGGGTTCAGGGAAAGTGAGTGCACTTCCACAACTTACTGGATGTGAGGCTGTGCCCCAGAGGGCTCTGGGTAGAAGTTTCATCAATTTCAGCCCCCATCTGCCTCTCATCCTGGTGTCATTTTGCAGGGTAAGTGGCCACGTTCTATTTCTGACTCTAGTGCTAGTTAGAAGGGTGTTGCATTGTTATTATTCTTTAAACCCTGCATTAACGTTTTACGGGCATTTCTGTATCTATGTTACAACACAACAGAAAAAAAAAATAGAATTGTTGCCAATCCTTATGGGGCAAATTTTACTCTGGGCTGATGAAAATTTTGTCATTGGACTGGCACCAGATTGCAAAGTGGCTCAGGCAACACCCAAGGATGTGTGCTTTAAAGGGCTTTCTCAGCTCATTTTATAGTCACCATAACCTTATGAAGAAGTTTTTTATTATCATTTTACATATGAGAAAATAGGCTCGAGCTCCATCCAAACTTGTTTGAAGCCAAAGATCTTTGCAAGATGCCACACTGCCCCCCTGTGGCAGCCTTGTGGTTTACTCGGCAAATAGGCCACAGCAGCGGGCCCAGTTGTCTTCCAAATCCAAAGATGTTGTGCTTCTTTCTTTGTGATTGGAGGTGCCAGATGCAACAATTATCCTTCATTGTGGAAGGGGCATTCTGCAACATTCTATTATTACAGCTACTTGGTCTTCCAAAGGCTTGCCTTCTATAGGCCACCGACTCTAGCCAATTACAGGTGATAATTTAAGTAACCGCATACCACGGACTGGTAGTAGTGTTCCTTTTTCCAATATCAGTGAGTTCATTACTACTTTTGCATCTAAACAGATTGGAAAACAAATTCCAGAGCTATTTGCAGTACTAAAGACTTTCAGAGTTTAGTTAGGAAGACAGAGCAATTCTAGGTATTCTGGGAATAAAGCCTTTAATACAGAATTGGGGGCTCACACAGCTGTGGGAAGAGCCAGCCAAGCTGAGGGAATGGAAATCAAGGAAACTGTGGCTAAAGGTCAGAGAAGCTGACACACGAGATCTCTTCTTCAAGCAGTGAAGTGCATAGTTCCCAAAAGCTTGCCTGGAAACCACTGCAAGTCTCAGAAACCTCCGGAAAGCTCCAGGCATCTCAATTTGCAGTGGTAAAGGGGGCAGTTCTCACGAGCTTGTGTGAAGGTTTTGTGACACTTTTGTCTGTTCCTGTGTTTGGCTGCAACCACAGCTAGAGATTAATGGCTTCTACGTTGGCTGTACCTTCCAAATCTTTTGTGAATTCTCTTATTTGGCAAATTCTAACCTGGAAGCACATAGGAAAGGGGACTCCGGGAAATGCAGTTCCCAGTCTTAGAAGGGCGTGGCTGCAGCTGAACACAGACATGCACTCACGGCAAAGGTACCGGTATATGTTTACTCTGTTGCCTCAGGGCCAAGTTAATTAACTCTGCTTTTCTCTGTCTTATATATAGTCCGCAAGAATTTTGCAGAGTATCACGCTGTTCACTATATTAGTGGCATTCTACTTACAGACCCATGAGCAGGAGATGTCAAGAATTCTAGATGCCCTCTGATGGGAGATAAACTTCATGAAGGTTCAGGGGTCTGCCACTTGGTGAAGTTTTCAGGGCCCCTCTTAGCCTGGAGCAGGAGTTGGCAAATTTTATCTTTAATAAATATTTTAGGCTTTGCAGGGCATAAGGTATCCGTCACCACTACTCAGTTTTGCCATTGTAGCGTGAAACCAGCCATAGACAATAGTTAAATGAATGGATGCGGCTGTGTTCCAATAAAACTTCATTTACAAAAATAGGAGGGGGATCATATTTGGTCTGTGGATAGCTGTTGGCCAACCCCCACCCTAGAGGAGACACTCCTTCTAAAGTAAAGGACAGATTGTTGCTCGTCACTCCTCTACCGCTGAGAAAGAGGCACAACACTTGGTTGTATTTTGATGGTAGCATTTACCACACTTGGGAGTATTGTTTTGACCCTTAATCAGGTGACTCAGGAGGCTTCCAGTTTTGACTACAACCCTGAGAAAAGAGGACTCTGCAGCCAATCCAGGCTGTGATGCCAGCTGTCCTGCTGCTTCAGCCATGTGACCAGCAGTTACCATGGTGCCCAAAATGTCTATGGTGAGTGAGGACACTGTGCAGAGTGTCTGGTAAGCTCTGATAGACCTTCTTGTGAAGATTTTTAGGTTTTGAAGCAGGGCTGTGACCTCTGTGGTGGAGAAACACTCTCAATTTGAGAAATATTTCCTGGCCTGCTACTGGGCTTTGGTAGAGACTGAACATTTAACCACATGACACCAAGTGACTGCTTATCATGAGCTGGTTTTACTGGATGGTTACAGATCCACTGAGTCATAAGGCTGGGTGGGCACAGCACCAGTGCATTGTCTGATGAAAGTAATCACTTAGGAGTCATGAATAAATTATAAGGACAGGTGTCTCAGACTCTCATGTCACCTACCAACGCAACTTATTCTATGGCATCAGGAAGGGGTCCCTATGACCAACTGATAGAGGATGAAAAGATTTGGGCTTGGTTCTCTGGTGGTTCAGTGTGATTTGCTGGTGCACGCTAGAAAAGGAGTGTGCTCCTGATTACAGACTCCATCGGGGTGGTCCTGAAAGACAAGAGTGAAGGGGCGTGTTCTCAATGGGTAGAGCTGAAAGTGGTACACTTGGTCATGGATTTCCTATAGAGGGAACTATGGCTCGAGATACCTACACACACGGATTCCTGGGCCATGATGAATGACTTGGCCAATTGGTCAATGGCCAAGAAGGAACAAGACTGAGAGGTTTGGGGAAGAGTTATGTGAGTGTATATTTATGGGGGTGAACATAAAGCATACAGATCTCTGTGTCTTATATTAATGTTTTCCAGGGAGCATCCACTTCAGAAGAGACCGCCACTACCACTCCACCCACTTCCCTCCACCACCCTAGCCTCTCTCCTTGGCCATCCTAGAACTTGCCAGGTGAGCCCAAAGATAATGGCCATGGTGGCATGGATGAAAGTTCTTCATGGACTCAACTACACTGAATCCTTCTCAACAAGGATGATTTAATGCTTGGCCTTCTAGCATCAGAGAATGATGCAGAGCCCTTGATACAGCATCTTTCTCCAGAGAGACGTGCCAGCTACTTGATGACTGGTTGACCACATTAGATACCTTATACCGTGATGGAGGCAGTGATTTCTTTTTGCTAGAATCGATAATTTGATAGATTTGCATTCTCTGATTGCATAACCTTCACCAGTACTATTATCTGATATCTTACAGCATGCCTGGTTTATTGTCATGGCATCTCCTACATACTGCCTCTGGTCAAGGGGCCCGTTTTATAGCAAAGGAATTAGGCAATGAACTCATCACCACATGATTCATTGGTAAATATAACCCATCACCTAGGAGTAGTCAGCCTGATATTAACAGTAGAACAGCTAAGTAAAAGTTCACCTAAGGCACCAGCTTAGGGACAGCACCTTATAGGGTTATAGTGCTGTCCTTTACATGTGCTATATGTGCTGAACCAGTGGCTGATATATGTTGCTGTGTCCTTAATAGGTAAAATATGTAGGTCCATGAACAAAGGGGTAGAAGTAGGATTGGCTCTTTCATGATCCATCCTGGTGACCTGATTATGAAATCTGTATTTACCATTCCTGCAAATATAGGGGGAAAAATGCTTCCTCCAGGGGACACAGTAAAATTTTACTTCCTCCTGGGGACCCAGGCTAAGACAAGAAGAACTTCAGAGTGGAGTGACTGGGTGAGAGGTTTTTGTTTTTAAAAAAAATGCTGTTTTAGAAAGCAACAGAAATGGTTTGAGTAACTAAGATGAAAGGGAGGGACTATTTTAAAGGAATGTAATTCAAAGGAAAAAAGCAAAGACTGAACAAGCCCAGAGAGCAGATGGGAACCAGGGAAGATCTGCTGATGTTTATAACAGCATTAATGGATGGTATTTGTGATAGTTTTACATTTCTTTTTTTTTTTTTGCGGTACGCGGGCCTCTCACTGTTGTGGCCTCTCCCGCTGCGGAGCACAGGCTCCGGACGCGCAGGCTCAGCGTCCATGGCTCACGGGCCCAGCCGCTCTGCGGCATGTGGGATCCTCCCGGACCGGGGCACGAACCCGCGTCCCCTGCATCGGCAGGCGGACTCCCAACCCCTGCGCCACCAGGGAAGCCCTGTGATAGTTTTAAAAGATGAGCACAAAGTTTTGGATACTCCTTCCTTCAAGGGGTGGAGCCTAAGCCCCTCTTGTTGAATGTGGGCTGTGCTTAGTGACTTAGTTCTAATGAATAAAATATGACAGAAATGATGGCCTGTGGCTTCTGAATCTGGGCCATAGAAAACATTGTGACTTTCACCTTCCTCCCTGTTCTGTCACTTGGTCTGGAGGAAGCCTGCAGCTGCCGTGTCTTGAGGACTATCAGGCAGCCGCATAGACAGGCCTGGGTGGTAGGGACGTGAGTCCTCCTGCCAACCGCCATGTGAGGGCACCATCTTGGAAGCGATTGCCCGGTCCCAGCCTAGCTTTCATATGACTGCAGCTTTGGCTGACATCTTGACTGCAACCCTGAGGGGGCCTGAGCCAGAACCACCAGCTAAGAACCTCTAGAGTTCATGACCTGTAGAAACCGTGGGGTAAATGTTTGTCATTTTTAGCAAGTGAGTTTTGGTGTAATTTGTTTTGCAGCAGTAGATAACAAAGACGGTATCTTTAAGGTATCTCCAGTGATTATTATTTTTTTTATTTTTTTTATTTTTGCGGTACGTGGGCCTCTCACTGTTGTGGCCTCTCCCGTTGCGGAACACAGGATCCGGACGCGCAGGCTCAGCGGCCATGGCTCACGGGCCCAGCCGCTCCGTGGCATGTGGCATCCTCCCGGACCGGGGTACAAACCCGCGTCCCCTGCATCGGCAGGCGGACTCTCAACCACTGCGCCACCAGGGAAGCCCTCCAGTGATTATTGATCTTGGCGTCAGTATTATTAGCCCCATCTGCAAAATAGTCACAGTAATTGTACCTCACTCATAGAGCTGTTTACGAGGCTATAAAGTGCTCAACATAGTGCCTAGCACAGAGTGAGAATTCAATAGATGTTACCAGTGCTAGTAGCAGTCATCATCATCATCATCTCAAGATTCAAATTCCCAGGAAGGAGAATCTGATTGACTTAGCTTGGGTTATGTGCCTTCCTCTTGGGCAAGGGAGCACAGGGCACTCTGACTGAGAGTCCTACAAGGTCTGTATTTCCTAAAAGGAAATTAAGATGCTGTTGCCAGGCAAAAAAAAGCAACACTAACTACAAAGGGTGTGTATACTTTAAGGTTCCTTATACATAAAGCCAAATTGCTTTCCAAAAAATGTTGTCTCAATATATATGCTCCTGCCAACAGCACGAGAGCATCCTCTCAGTCCACCTTTGCCAACATTGCTATTATCCCGAAGAAAAGAAGAGCCAGTTTAATGGATGAAAAATAATGATATCTCATTGCTTATGTCTACACTTCTTTACTAGTGAAGCTGAATATGTTTCCATGTTTTATTGGCCATTTGTATGTCTTGTTTGGTGAATTAAGGAACACTCATCTAAAAAGTGGGATATTGGGACTTCCCTGATGGCGCAGTGGTTGAGAATGCACCTGCCAGTGCAGGGGACATCGGTTTGAGCCCTGGTCTGGGAAGATCCCACATACTGCGGAGCAACTAAGCCCGTGCGCCACAACTACTGAGCCTGCGTGCTACAGCCACTGAAGCCCGCGCACCTAGAGCTCATGCTCCGCAACAAGAGAAGCCACCACAATGAGAAGCCCGCGCACCGCAACGAAAAGTAGCCACCGCTCACCACAGTTAGAGAAAGCCCGCGCGCAGCAACGAAGACCCAACGCAGCCATAAATAAATAAATAAATTGATTAAAAAAATAAAAGGTGGGATATAGAGTTATTTCTATTGACTTATGTGATTTATTTATGTGCTAATGGTATCAATTTTCTGACATACATTACAAGTATTTCCTCAGTGTATGTTTTTTGTTCTAATTTTGTCTATGAAGCCCTTTGCTCACGATGTTAAATTTTTAATAAGTGAGACTGATCGAGCTTTTCATTTGTTCTATTCCTGCCATGTGTCATCTTTGGGGGGGGGGTCTGATCTTGCTAGAAATCTTGGAAGGTGGGTGGTACCTATAAGTTTAGTTGAAACATGAATACCAGTCTTAACTTACCTAAGAAGGCCAGAAAGCAAAGGAGTGGTCACTATTTACCAGCCCATTTGTTATTGGCCCTCCAGAACAAAAACTTGCATGACTTTCATCTTCTGCTGGATTGCCACTGCATGGGAGTCCCCAGCTCACACACGAATTGCAGTACATTTAAGGGGACAGTATCTTAGAGGAGAAAAAGTCAAACAATCAAAACAGGAGGGTCCTCCTGAGGTGCAGCCAGTGAATGATAAAAAACGGAACCGAAACAAAAGTACCACAAGAACTCCAAAGGCAGTGCAACTAAACCTCAAAGACTTTTCAAAAGTGCAAGACATAATTTCTATGTTTGAAAACTTGGCAAATTAATTAAGAAGTATGATCAGAGCTGAGAACTGAATTAACATTCTGATTGATGTTTAAGTTAAACTACCCTTATAATCCAGAGTAAAAATACAAAGAAGTTGAAATCATGAGTGAAAAAAATGGTTGACTCAAATGATAGGACTAGGAAGCTGAACATGCTAATAATAGGAATTACAGAGGGTTAAAAAGGAAAATAGATGGAGAAGTCATAATTAAAGCACAAATAGAAAAATACAGCTTTGTCTAGTTGAATGCGGGCTTACTTGGTCATTGAAAAACCCAGACAAATTCCAGTCTTTTGGCCTATATGTGAAAAATGCACATAAGCATAAATAATTAAAAGGAAAAGATATTACAGATGAAAACCTCCTGGACCTAAAGAAAGGGGAGCCTCCAGATTGAAAGAGCTCAAATAATCCTAGGCATGATTTTTTTTTTTTTTTTTTTTTTGCGGTACGCGGACCTCTCACTGTTGTGGCCTCTCCCGTTGCGGAGCACAGGCTCCGGACGCGCAGGCTCAGCGGCCTTGGCTCACGGGCCCAGCCGCTCCGCGGCATGTGGGATCTTCCCGGACTGGGGCACGAACCCGTGTCCCCTGCATCGGCAGGCGGACTCTCAACCACTGCACCACCAGGGAAGCCCATAGGCATGAATTTGTTTAAAAAGCAAAAAGACACTAAACTTCAAGGATCAAGAGAAAATCTTATAAACTTCTCTTATAAAAAGAACAGGTTACCTACAGAAGGAAAAAGGAATCTGACCTATGTTGGATATTTCATTTACAACAATGAAAGAGAAAAGATAGTTGAATAATGTCTATAGACTATTGAGGGAAACAGGCTGTACAATTAAATAATCCTAAATCCAGCAAGGACAGAATTCATGTGACAGCACAAAAGGAAAACATTTTCTTTTCTTTTTTAAAAAATTTGTTTTCCTTCATATATATATTTATACAACTTGAAAATGTTATACTCCATTTATGGTTATTACAAAATATTGGCTATATTCCCCGTGTGGTACAATATATCCTTGTAGCTTATCTTAGGCCCAATAGTTTGTACCTCTTAATCCCCCATCCCTATACTTGCTGTCCCCCCTCTCCCCACTGGTAACCACTAGTTTGTTCTCTATACCTGTGGGTTTGTCTCAAAGGAAAACATTTTCAAACATATGAGGATTCAGAAAAACTACCACAAATGGACGCAACACAAGGAAAATATTTCACCAAATTGAAGATTGAATTGAAATAGAGAGTCTCAAGACATAGAAAGGAAATAGTCCAGGAGACAGTGGTGAGCAGTGACTCTGATGATACACATAATTAAAATTAAATGGATGATAATAACATGCCTGGGATCTCTAGTATTAAGTGAGGAGGGTTCTTGAAACAGAAGA